ATACGTCGCGATCCTATCTGTCGTCAAACCAACGGAACCAACGAAATGACGACAAATACCACAACAACTCATTGAATGGCCGACAGAACAACGGCTTAGAAGGGGTTCCGCTGCAGAAGGCGAGCGCATCGTCCGTGCCGTCGGATCTGCGACTCCTGAGGAATGGGATCCGACAGTTCGAGACGGGAGAGAAGCGCTTGTGGCCTAAGTATCTGCAGGACTTGTCTCAACTCTTTTTGTCCAATTCGTTCCCCCGAGCCGTCATCGAAAAGCCCGGACGGTAGGCATCCCTCCCGACCCTCAACACCACAACCAGTCGTTGCGGTGATCATTGAAAGTGTGTTTCTCTTCCCATAGCGTTATCGATGACGTGACACGACTTCTTACGAGGATATTGACTACAAAGCTATTCGCGGATATCATCAAAGAGGTGATCGACTGTATGGCAGCCTTCAGCACGTGTCTGACCCATCACTTGCGGGAACTGTTTAACTGGATGTTCGACTTATACAACTCGTCCATCAGTGATGAGACCAGAATTGTTTTACTCAAGAGTTTACTGAAAATGATCTCGAACAGAGGTAAAGGTATGAATGAAAACATGGGTTCACTTCTGAACAAATTGAAGGACGCCTTAGAAGAAGCCGAGAATATTGAACTCCTGCTGACCGTCACTGAAGTGGTCTTAATGGCGGCCAAACATTATCCAAATCTATTGCAACAACACTTTCGAGATGTGGTCGATATACTGATCGGTTGGCTCTTGGATTCAACTCAATGTCACAATCAAGTGATGACTAAACCACTGGAGAGCGCATTGATTTCCCTCAAAGACTTTTGGCACTTCGACATCGAATTTTCGGTCACACTTTTGGGTCAATTCATTGAAGACTTTGAACGCTTTTACCAGGAATTGATTGATGAGAATAAAGTGGATTTGATTGAACCCAAGAGCCAACAGACTCCGCAAAGCCGGCGCTCCAACAATGAGATCCTCTCGTCGGACGCAAAGGTCTTAAAGATGGCCGCTTTGGTCAAGATCTATATAACTGTTCTGAAGAGTTTGGANATTGAACCCAAGAGCCAACAGACTCCGCAAAGCCGGCGCTCCAACAATGAGATCCTCTCGTCGGACGCAAAGGTCTTAAAGATGGCCGCTTTGGTCAAGATCTATATAACTGTTCTGAAGAGTTTGGAAAAGTTTCAATCCCAAGACTCGACGCCATCCATAACCTGGCATTTCCTGAGCGAAGCCCTCAAAACAGTCATCAATTGTGTCAATTCTGTTATATCTATCAAACACTCCGAAGACTTAGTCATCGCAACCAATCACTGCTCTCGACTCACATTACAATCAGTTGATCCCTTGTCCACACAATCCAAGCAATTGTTATCCGTTTTAAAGCCACAATTACTTCAATATTTGGATAAAATTCAGGAGTCGTTTGAATTTGCGAGCAATGAGTATATTATAAGTTCACTCGAGTTAATGAAAACAGTGGTCAAGGGTTTGAATGTGGAGCTGGACATGGATTTTGTGACCAAAGTGTTTATATCGGGCTCACAATCACACAAATTGCGATTCATTCCATCAGATAGTGTTCAGAAGAGTTTACTGTCTTTACATCACTCGATCTTATCCATCAAAAGTGTGCCAATACTTGAAGAGGCCTACCGGTGCTTATTGTCAGACATGAGCTCTGCTCTCACAGCTCTCTTTGACTCAAAAATAGTTCTTTTGGTCGACTCTAACGACAATAACTCAAAGATTTGTTATACGGAAGAGGAGGCCATCCATTCATTGCAATCATGTTTGGTGTCATTGGCAGAGATCGCGAACACCAAGAATTCCCTGATTGTGATGTGGGCTCTAAGGCCGACATTCATTGATTTGATTCTCAATATTATAAACCCGTTGAATGAATCGCTTTCTACCAAACATCCAAGAATTCACTACTCATTGTTTTACATCCTATACTCGCACTCCAGTAAACACATGCACTTCATATCAAGCAGTAGTCTTATCAGTAGTCCTCCCAATACAGCCAACATATCGTCCACTCCTAGTCTCACGACTGGCCTTCTATTCAATACAGCGATGACTAACCACAGCGTTAATCATTTGTCTAATATCTTAAATCTACTGAAGTCTGCGTTCAAACTCAAGTCACTGCCCGTCGACACAACAGTCCTTTGTATCGATTGGACCCTTGAAATAGTGGAGAGTTCGCACCCACACATCCACAGCTTCTGTACGTCTAAAGAACTGATATCATTGGTTGAGACCATCGCTGACCTGTCTTTTTCTAACGACAAGAAAGTATGTCTAAAGAGCGCTAAAGTAATTGAATCGGTATTGAAGTCATTCCCAGACATCTCTCTGCCGAATGCTTTTGATAAATACAAGAAGTCATGTGACCTCCAAATCGGACACATCGACCAAGAGATCAGTAAAACGTTTCTCAATTTATTGGCTATCCTTCCGTCGGTCAACAAATCACAAGACATTGAAATGACTTCAACTCCGGACTTATTTAATAGAAAGGATGGTTTCATATATCCCGAAGACATTCATATGTCTATAATGGCAGTCATGCAGAGAGATCCGTCGACTTCGTTCACGTCTAACTGCTTTCGAGCCATTGTTTCCTTCATTTTAGACGACAATCAGTCAGAAGAGAGCAACAACTGGTTGTGGCGTTGGTTTCACTGTTGTCTCTCCGACGACAACCCAATAAAGTGTTCCCAATCTTTGGCTAAATATCATCAAAACTATTCCAACCAAATAAACACAACCCAAGTGTTTAATAACCATAAAAGTGCGCAAATATTCTGGTCGTGTTGGGAAGTGGTTCAGTACTGTATCGCCAACCGATTGCGCACACCGTTAGGCAAACCTCAGGACACGTTCACTAAAATCGAGGCATCAATAAAGCGACGCGTCGTCCAAATCCAGGGCTCGCTGTCCGACACAAACGCCTCCATCGAAATGAATTCAATTCAAGTGAGAATGTTATTGCTTTTGATGGAAAACATGGAGAAACTCATCTATAATGCAGTGGACGGCAACTCCAGCCGACTCTACACGACATCTAAAATTGCCAAATCCTTTTTCCGAACCAACAAAGCTACCTGTGCCGAGTGGGTCAACAGGAATCGCCTGTCCGTTATGTTGATTGCACTGAATTGTGGCGAACCGGCCACTGTTGTCCGTCACGGACAGGAACTGTTGCGAGAAGTGATTCACTCGAAGAAGCAAAACGATTTGGAGTTGATTTTGATTTTGATTATCGAAGCGCTCATACGTCTGGAAGCGGCCGACGCGGCCATGGGTTACTATATTTGGGCCAAACATACCTTTGGAGTGCAGTACCGATGGATCAAAGCGGCCGCAGAGGAAGCCAACGGTCGCTTCGAGAACGCGTTGGAACTCTTGGACGCCATTCATAAGCATCGATCGCAGTCTCCATTTGTAGGCAACGATGTCGTCGCCACTGAAGAGGAGCAGTCGTCCAATCAAATAGATTTTCTCAACAATCGTATGATTCAGTGTTATCTAAGTGTCAATCGTATTGACGAAGCGATTGAATGGAGTGAACAGACAAACCAAAACTCACACAACAGTCTATTTCACCGTCACATTGATTACGAGTATTTGAAGTCTATGTCTGAATTCCCGACTCATGTGACAAAAGTTAGTAAACACCTCAAAACTGGGAGTGTTTTATGGGATACCAACTCAATGTATCACAAATCACAGTCAAAACTGTTTGACTTATGTGTTCATCAGTTCAAGAATCCGACACAAAATATTGAGAAACAAATCGAAGAACTCATTGATAATAATATCAATCCATTGCTCAAAACACCACTTCTGTGTACGCCTTGTGTGGAGAATCCATTGATTACTGTTTTGCACAGAAATGCCATCGCATTGAAAGCTATCACAAAGAATGACTACAAGATATTGAAGAAAATATCGTCATTGAGTCCAACCTCTGGATTCATGTCGTCAAACGCGGGTGTTTTGGTGAACGCCATGACTTGGGCTAAGATTTACAACAATTTCTGCCAAAAGATGACAAACAATTCAATCGATTCGTTAAACAATGCGTTCAATGAATTGAATTACATCTCTGCGAAAGTGGCCCGAAAACAGCAAAATCTAAAACTCTCGCAAACCCTGCTATTAGAATACGCGGCCAACACTTGTGGCCTCGAATCGGCTAAACAGTTCATTAAGAAAGATGTCATCAAAGAGTTGTCAACGAAAGTCAACAACATTTCGCCACTCATTGAAGTCATCAAAGAAGCCATTAATTCAAACAATAGGTCCGAAAATGTAATAAACTTTGAGTTGGAATCCGCGAAACTCTTGTATAGTTTCGGTGACTCGAGAGCCGCGATCGACACACTTCTCAACTCGACATCACATCTGCTGAACAAAAGTGACGACAAATACAGCGACCAATACATGGAAACAATGTCACGCTCTCTGTTATCTTTAGTCAAATATCTACAGTCGGACCCTAAATATGTTGAACACCTAAACATTGTCACTCACCCGACGCTCTCATTACTGTTACACCGTTTCGATGACCTAATTGGCTGCGAGCAGGCATTGGGACCGTCGGACACACTGATCGGTAAGCTATTGCTGTTTAGTGTGAACAACTATCCGGCGTTAGCGAAGTCGTGGTACGAGTTGGGCGCCTGGAGTTACCGCTGGGGTCGCAAACTCAGTGACCTGGAGGACGACAAACTGGAACACAGGAGTATCACGAAAGGCGAGAGCGCGTACGCCCTCTACAAGCTGTCGGCCACCTCTTACTTCAAGTTCTTACGAATGAGTGGACACACCAGCTGTGAGTCAGTCAATGCAACGCTCAGACTGTTGAGACTTATACTAAAACACGCGCCGGAAATGCGAGAAATCCTTGAGACGGGTCTCTCGCAGACCCCGACCGAGCCCTGGAAGAACATAATCCTACAGCTGTTCTCCCGTCTCAACCATCCCGAGCATTACGTCAGACAGAGTATCAGTGACTTGTTGTGTCGCATCGGAAAGGATAGTCAGCACCTGATTGTCTTCCCAGCCGTCGCCGGCTCTCTGACCAACAAAAAGGATGAATATCTGTTTGATTCGGTTCCGGGAAAGGGATTCGATTGCGACGAGAGCTTTGACGACGACTTCGATGTCGACGCTGTGATCAACGAACAGGAAGAAGAGTCGGCTCTTATGCAGGACTGTTACGCCTCTCTGGTCGAGACACTGAGTCAACAAAACGCTCAATTGATTTCGCAAACGAAGACATTTGTCCACGAATTGCGTCGAATCACTGTCTTGTGGGACGAGGTGTGGATCGGGACTCTTCTGAACCATTTGGGAGAACTTAAGAAACAAATCACGGCTTTTGAGACAGAAATCGACAAAATTAAAGGCAATCATCTGTTGACTGACGACGAGAAGGAGCTCATCATCCGAGAGAAGCATAACATACTCTTCCGACGGATCATCTACTTCTTGGAATTGACTCAATTGATCACAAGTGAAGCGCCCGAAACTCCTCACGAGTCGTGGTTTCAAAGATGTTTTAGTAAATCCATTGCCGACACAATTAAATGTCTTCAGTCGCCGCCCGACCCCTCACAACCGCAACAGAATTTAGTGGTTTATCAACAGTTGCTGCAAACGATCCAAAAGAAGGCAATTATGGCATCCAATGGACGCTCACAACTGGTTATGGATAATATCAGTCCTATTCTGGCGGCTCTCGAGAATACTGTGATTCCGATGCCAGGACTCAATGTTCACTCGACTACCGGCTCTAACATCACAATACAGCGCGTCTGCAGAACTGTTACCACATTACACACCAAAACCAAACCCAAGAAAATTGTTTTCTTTGGATCCGATGGAAGGGCTCACACTTATCTGTTCAAAGGACACGAAGATTTGCATTTAGATGAACGCATTATGCAATTCCTGGCGATTGTCAACAAAATGATTGTTAAATACGATAACAGCAAACAGGAAAGGGTTCACTACAGGGCCCGACACTATTCGGTCACTCCTTTGGGTAATAAGTCTGGACTCATTCAGTGGGTCGATGGCGGACAAGCACTGTATGGCTTCTACAAGAAATGGGTTCTCAATCGCGACGTCTCGCCCACCAAAACCATTCAAAATCATAACCCAAACGCAGCGAATGGCGGACACAATGATAACAACGTCTATAAGCCGTCGGATATATTCAACAAAAAGTTGGTCTCAAAGGGAGTGACGGAAACGAATCGAAACGAGTGGCCGTCGAAAGTGTTGGTTCAGGTGTTGCATGAGTTGATCAAAGAGACTCCCGATGACCTCATCTCCAAAGAGTTGTGGTGCGCGTCAGTCAACCCCTACGACTACTGGCGCTTAACGCAGACCTTCACCTATTCTAATGCCGTTATGTCTATGATTGGCTATATTATTGGCTTAGGGGACAGACATCTGGACAATATTCTGCTCGACTTGAGTACCGGCGAAGTGATTCATATCGATTACAACATATGCTTCGAGAAGGGAAAGACACTTCGGGTGCCGGAGAAGGTGTCGTGCCGTTTGACCCAAAACATTGTCAACGCGTTTGGAATGACAGGAATTGAGGGCACGTTCCGAATGTCGTCCGAACACATCCTTCGAGTGCTTCGTAAGGGAAAGGAAACACTTCTCACTCTTCTGGAAGCCTTCGTTTACGACCCACTCATCGATTGGACGCCAGAGCACGAGGAGGGCTATACGGGCGCCATATATGGTGGCGCCAGGATCTCCGAGTTGGCCAAAGAGGGCAAACTTATATCCAAACATCAGATGGAAAAAGAGAATTCCGAAGCCATTGTCAAACTGAACGCTCGGATCAAACAAATTGAAAGACAGAATAATTGGCCCAAAATTTCCAACCAATCGGTCAACAGAATTGAGGGCCCAATGGATGCGTTGGAAGACATCTCTATGAATGACGCGGCGGTCGTAAGCGCCGCCAAATTGACGAATCCTTTGAAGGACTCGGAGAATGAGAAGTCGAGGAAGAATACTAAGAATTCTTCATCTGTTAAACGCAACACTTATGCGACAAATGTTTGGAAAAAAGTTAAAATGAAGGTTAGAATTGATTTGAGTTTATGTTTGCAATGAATTGATTGTAATTTGCGAACCAATAGTTGGACGGCAGAGACCCGGATCAGAACAAGAAGTATAGTGTCATCGATCAGGTGAATCATGTGGTGAAGGAAGCCATGGACGTCGAGAACTTGGCGCACATGTATGAAGGCTGGACCAGGTATGTGATCCCCTCAAGCGTCACTGTATATGACATGATTGTTGATCTGTTTGCGTTTAGTTGGGTGTGAAATGACACAAAACGAGAACAACATTGGGTTATAAGCTGTAAAACAACAAAATCAGAATAATCTGGTTTTCACTACAAAACGATTAAACGACCAAAGCATCCAAACAACTGGTGCCCGACCTATGGGTGCCATCAAACGACTCGACAACTGAATCGGAAACTGTTTGTTTGGTCTAAATATCGAATTCCAATAATAATAACAAATAATAAAATTGAATAAAATATATCAAATCCATACATAAGTGGTTAGTATACAGAGTGGAGAGAGAGAACCGATTGCTTTGGATCTTTGGGTTCGTCTCTCTCTTTGAATCCGATTTAATTGTTTTTCATTTCACTTAAACGCTTGTGTTTCCCGAAACGCTATTATTTTTTTCAAACCCTTATTTAGATTTTCTGTTTAATTTCTATTCATTTACCGAAATTATTAAGTCTTGTGTTTAAATTAAACGTTTATTTCGTATTTAATTTTTAAGAATTTATGTTCAATTTGTCTGAAGCATGAGATCTATGGTTTCAGATAATGACATCAGTTTAAGAATATCTCTGATATGCTATAAGTACTGTGTATTCAACGATTAGACAAATGGCATAAATAAAGTTTAATTGCATTCAATTTCGTTCATTAATTACTTTTATATTTACTGTAATTTTCATTTAAACCAAATGAGACGTTGGATTCAAACATTGGCTAACATTCACTGAAAACGAATCAAAGTTTAGTTATAAATAAAAATACAATTATCTGTCAAATAGATAAGGTTTTAATGATTTATTTGTTTTAACTATTAAAACAAATAGGAAGACTTGCTTTGATTATAAATATCAATACAAATGTATAAATAAAAAAGATTGGCTATAATTCGTGACATTCATTGCTTTAATGAACGGCTCCAGAGGTGAGCCAACACTGGGATACAGAGTGATTGACCCTAACTCTGGTTCCCAACACTTCACCACTACTTCACCACTACTTCACTACTACTTATAAATTGGAGACAATAATGAGATGATTGGAGATAACATGATTTGTCCACTATTTATATAAAGTACAGAATAATGTTTGATTCTCACATTAGCATCAAGATTTCAAATGAGATTCTTGTTTAGACCTAAAATTAGGTAGTTTTGTATCTTTAATAGAGTATTGAAATTAAAGGCTTATGATTTAGTCATATAATTTTTAAATTGTAATTATAAGTGATCAAAAATTGTACTGGTGTATTATATGAAACTGTTTGAAATTAGTTGCTATAATTGTTCGTAAATAATACTATAATTTAGAGGACACTACACATTGACGGCAATAGTATTGGTCTCACAATTGCTTTTTAGTTGAACGAAAACTTTCACATTAAAAGTCGAAAACATTGTTTCTTATCATTTAAATTGCTGTAGATTTTGTCATTTCCGGTGGATTCAAATAAGTGAATACTTAACTAAAATTTATTATGGAGATCATTTATTACGAAAGTAATTATTTTAATGAGTAATTGTTTCACAAATATATTTCTATGTTTTATATGATTCTAACGTTTGGAGTATGATTTCAGGTCTTTATATGATTTCTGTTTTTCAATCAATTTTGTAATTCTTTTGAAACATTTGATTAGAATTTTCAAACAAACAGAATACAGAATAATATATAATATATTATATTATATGAAAATCATTGAATGACTATATAATTACATTTTAATTTCACATATTTTGTTGTACTGACAGTGCATTTGAATTGAATGAAAATTCTGTTCAAAACTAATACATTTCCGCAAAACATTAATTTTATTGATATACAATATAATGAGAAAACTTTTGGACAAAAATCATTAAAAATAAGTTTTTACGAGCAGAAAATTGTAGTGTTTTTTAATGCCGATAACGTATCGTTTGCTCGCATTTAATGTGCGTTCAGTTCACTCGTGTTTTAAGTGAACAAAACTTTTGGTAAGAGTTTTATAGTATTTTTTTTAATGAAGTAATTATTGTTTTGCGAAATAATTAATAAAATACAAAATAAATGGCATTAAAGAGGAATTGTTTGTTTTAAAGACCATAATTGAGTGCTCGTCACAGATAGGGAGACACCGGTGCCCTGTGTTTCGTAGCCTATAATTTAAGATTTAAGTCTATAATAAGCCCCTATTTATTGTTATTTTATGCTTTAAGTTTAACAAATAAACAAACAAACCTTTTAAACGTAACTACAATTATAATTGTAATGTGCAATCTGTTAATTAATTCGCTAACAATTAGTTATTTAAATAAAAAACTAACACTGAAGCTATAACTTTTCAAAATAGAAATTCAAATCAACCAGAATTCACATGAATATTGATTAGACTTAATATTGAAGTGAAAGTTTGCAAATATTAATGTGAGCGCCAATACTGAGCGCTATATGAAAATCGATGAATCCATGGATCCTTACATCACGATATAAATTTTAATCTCATTTGTTGTGCTATTATTAAAAACGATTTATCATTCATTTCTCTTACATTAATTAGAAAAAAATTAGCGAAACATAAGTCGATTAAACAAACTTTTTTGGAAGTCCATCGATACTACAGTAAAACAATTAATATCATCCATGATATTATTTTTTAACTTTTTATAATACTTTAGAGAATACTTTAAAAATCTAATTATCAATTTAACTATATAACTTTTAGCAAATAAAAATTAAAATTCAGCTATAAGTCAAGTAAATTACAATGTCAGAGATTATCAGAATATTTATGATTCTGTTAAATGAAAAATATTTACAAACAATTTATTTTATTCATTTAATTGGAGTACCTTTTCATAAATATTAATATATTAATTATTTTATGGTTTTAACTTATTTTACATTAAAAATTAAATTTAAAGTTTTGAAATATTAGATTGATGAAATTTAATGCCATTCACACTAAGAAAATAAGAAAATTAAATTATAATGAAATTTCAACACATATTAGTATAATTTAAACTTTTCACTCGAGACTTCATTAGATTTGAAAATTATTTAAATATATTTTTATCATTAAAGCGAATAAATTCACAATACTCTTATGTCTTATGTCTTATGTACAAATTATGTCTTAAATCATTTTAATAACCTTTTGTTTTAACAAATGATTCGCACATTTACTCTCAATTATCGCTAGATTATTGTGTTTAAGATTTGAATGTCTTATAAATATTTATGTGAATGACTTGTCATACAAATGTATAATTATTTGTCAAATACAGTACAATGTCATATTTAAACTAAAACATTTATCAAATATACTTTGTTAGTTAGTATTAAAACTAAATCATAGCATATTTTTCATAGTTACTTTTAATATTAAACAAGAATATACTGAATAGAAATATTAATTAATTTTAATAGATTTAATTTTACTGATAATAAGTCTAATTGATGCCAGGTTATTTTTAATATACTACATTTAAATAATTCATAAAAATAATTTCTACTATCATTATACAATACAAATAAAACAATTCTAATCATATCACAGGCTTCATATGAACATTATTTAAAAATTTTAAGACAATTTACAGAATCTGAAGCAACTTTTTAAAAATTAACTTAAAGTTTATAAGAATATAATTATGATTTTGGTTTTTCCTAAAACAGATCTTATGAATAATAATTGTATGAAAGAAAATGCATGAAAGCACTGAACGGCAATTGTGTTGCATAGAGATTGGGATCGCAACTACTTATCTATAGATAACTTATATAATATGATTGGAGTTATATTTGTAGTGAATTTAATATTTATGACGACTGCATGTGTGCTATAATTAACTCAAACGAGAGGCTGCATAGAGATTGGGATCGCAACTACTTATCTATAGATAACTTATATAATATGATTGGAGTTATATTTGTAGTGAATTTAATATTTATGACGACTGCATGTGTGCTATAATTAACTCAAACGAGAGGCTTCTCTCCGTAAGAAATGACAAAAACAAAAGTAGTTTCGACACAACCAAACAGGAAACCGATAAAAACAAGTAGTTTTTTGGAGATATAATTTATAATATTATATAATTTGCGTTCAAAAATCCGATACATCATTCTTGATATGTTTGTGAGATTAATAACAGCTATAATTTGCTGCAAATAAACTAATGAAAGACAAGCCATTCATTCGCTGTCTTAGCGTTGGTCTCAATGATTGAAAATTACTTTTTTTTCGTTCACTCTTTGGTAACTCATTATTCCGGACAATAAATATACAAAATTGCTTTAATTGTCAACTGATTGCTAATAGAGATAAGTCTTTATTTGCCGTATAGTGTCTGTGAGAGTTGTAAACAAATAAAAATAATTAAAAAGTCTAACTTTTGGGAAAATTTGTGACAATAAAGAGTTTGTAATTTAAATAAATGCTGATCTCTTCAACACTGATAACACAATTTTCACTTACTTTATGAAACCATTTGATTTTAAACTAGACACTAACCTTTTGAATAAAAAACACTAAAATAATTAGGACTAAACATTTCTTTATTCACTTTCAGAATACTTTTAAAATAATATTACTTTTAAGTAATTAGTATATTTTAATTGTAATAATAATAATTCAAAATTAAGTTAATTTTTTGGGGAATATTTAAGTATAGATATGTTTTTGACAAATTAATATTAAATTGTTATTGTGGATTAATGTTTGGTATATGTTATAAAATAACATGAATTTGACAAAATAATTATTTTCTAGACATTAATGTTTAGCAATTATTAAAAAATATATAGAAAACATAAATGAGTTACTGATCTCAGTCACAGTGAAGTCTTTAAAATTTATTTATTATAACGAAAAATATAATTAATTGAAAGTAAGTTTTTGTGTATAAAAACATTGGGAGCTCTCAGGGAAACCGTTTTGAATCCAGCAAATGAGGTTCCAATAGATGTGAACTGAATTTTAATATATATTTTGGTGTAATTAAATTTTCTCTACTTTTTTTTGTCTCCATTTGAGTCCAATATTCCAATAAACAATTAAATTATGAATTTGCAAAATTTTATCTATAATTTACTGGCTAGAAAACATTAATTTTATTAATAATTAATCTACTAACATTTTATAGGGATTTTAATAAAAATGGTAAAAATTAATTTGAGATTTTAATGTACTGTAGTGTAGTATTATCAAATGTATATAATTATTATGCGACAAAAAAGTGAATAAAAAGTTGTTGGTATCGATTAGTTGCAGTGAATGTCCATTGGTTTGCATTATGCATGCATTGAGAATACCGGGCATTGGTTCCATGGATTCATCGATTTTCATATAGCGCTCAGTATTGGCGCTCACATTAATATTTGCAAACTTTCACTTCAATATTAAGTCTAATCAATATTCATGTGAATTCTGGTTGATTTGAATTTCTATTTGAAAAGTTATAGCTTCAGAT